AAATAATGAACAAAAGGTTGAATGCACTGCAGTGATTTAGACTCAGATTTCTGGCCAACCAGAGGGCTTGGTAGGCGACCTTGTCCCTCACCTGAAGGCTAGACCCCCCTAGATGTTGGTGGTGGGCTCTTAACTCCTATCAGTCACATCCAGCATGCCCAATAGTCTGGGATGATGGCACTTGGAATCCAACAATATATTGTGGCAATATCCCTGCCTTAAGGGGTTGTTGTAAATACAGTGACCATCTTTGCAGGGAGGAACCATACAGAACCTGAAATGAATGGGCAGTGAGCAATGGATAAGACCTCTGCTTGAGACCCTCCACAGCCTGCATGAATCTGATCAGGCGATTGCGGGGGCTCAATGGAGAGCCAGTGTGGTGTAGTGGTTAAGAGCGGTGGACTTGTAATCTGGTGAACCGGGTTTGCTTCCCCGCTCCTCCACATGCAGCTGCTGGGTGACCTTGGGCTAGTCACACTTCTCTGAAGTCTCTCAGCCTCACTCACCTCACAGAGTGTTTGTTGTGAGGGAAGGGAAAGGAGAATGTTAGGCGCTTTGAGACTCCTTCGGGTAGTGATAAAGTGGGATATCAAATCCAAACTCCTCCTCCTCCTCCTCCTCTTCTTCTTCTTCTCCTCGATGAAACAAATATAAGGCAGTCTTCTATGTTTCTAGAAAACCAGAGTGGGCAACCTACGGCTGAATGTGATCTTGGTCTAATTTCATGTGGAGGTATGGAAGCAGTTGGAAATGTGAAAGGATGTGGCAGGGAGAGAGAAACAAGGTCCCCCCCCCCACACACACTTTTGGCTTTAGCACCACCCACCGTTGACAAAGGCCGCTCCGCCCCCTGCTTTCATACACAATTACATACATCATTTTGTTTGTATGTCGCCTTTCCATAGTTAAAGTCATGCTCAAGGTGCCATGCAACTTGGAAAAATAATAGAATTACAAATATAGCAAAAGCAGTCATGAACAATAAATAAAACACATCGAAAAGTATACAAGCAAGTGGGACAATTTCCACTTAAATCGTAAGAGGATTTACAAATAGCAATACAAAAAATTAATATCAGTAACAGCAGCAACCCCCTCCCCCAACCTCCTAAACAATACACTGACCCAAGAGTCACCCTCAGCTTTTGTAGCTGGAATCAGTCCGGGACCCACCTTCCCAGGCCAGGTGGGGAAAGGCCTGCAAGGCAGGGTGCAGGTCTTCCAGGATTCACAATCAAGATGGTTCATGAGGCGCCTGACATATCACCAGCCAAGGGAATCTCTCAAGAGAAAAAAGGTTCCTCATCCCTGCTATAAAATTATTATTAGTAGTAGTAGTAGTAGTAGTAGTAGTAGTAGTAGTAGTATATTTATACCCCACCCATCTGGCTGGGTTTCCCCAACCACTCTGGGCGGCTCCCAGCAGAATAGTAAGAACACAATAAAACATCAAACATTAAAAACTTCCCTAAACAGGGCTGCCTTCAGACGTCTTCTAAAAGTCAGATAGTTATTTATTTCCTTGACATGTGCTGGGAGAGCATTCCACGGGGAGGGTGCCAATACTCTGCCTGGTTCCTAATAATAATAATAATAATAATAATAATAATAATATACACCCCCCCCACACCCATTCAAGCATTACCTATGTTAAAACCAGTACATGTATAGGGGGCTCTTGTCTCTACCTGACGGCAAGTCCTGCTTTTGGAAGGACATGACTGCTATCAAAAGCTCCTGGGTGCATCCGATCCCAGCTGGGATTGCTGTCAGTGCAGACAGTGAGCCCTGCTTGCTGTGGAACAATTGGAAACGCCTTTCAAGGCACTTTCTCTGCCATGCACACTGGACATCATATGGCATCAGAGGGGGCAGGTGGGCACAGCCTGGGGAAAGTGGTCTAAACTAGAACCCTTGCCGGGCCTAATGTGACTCACACCCCGGAGGTTCCCCATGCCCGCCCCATGTGGGCCTCACTCAAATGACGAGGCTTGTTATAAAGCCACGTGAATCAGTAATTTCAATTAACATTTTGCATCGTTGGGCTCACAGCCTGCTGTTAAGAAAATGTCAGACGCGGGTGTTTTCGTTCCAAACTGCACCGACATAGCGCTGTGATGTTTTTGTGCAAGCAGGGAAAGGGCAAGGAGAAGTACCCTCGCTGGGGGTTCCTTACGCTGATTTATGGCCGTCGCTACATCATCTCATCTTAAATCGGTAGCTGCTGTTTTTGGACGTGGGCACAGTTTTAAAAGTGTGAGTTTCGTAACAATCCAAGTGCTTCGTCTGATATCGGAAGGAGATATGTTCACTGGTCTTTCCTCCTCTGCTTCTTTCTTCCACTGGTTGCAAGCTTTAGGGAACCTCATTGAAAAGGAGAATTGGGGCTCAGGGCAAACGTGGTTGCAGTGATGGTGATGAGGAGAAAACCAAAGACAGGAATTTTGGACTCTCTTACGTCCAGGATTATCATCCATACCTAGCACCTGATTTACGTATAAGCTAAACAAGCTATAGCTTAGGGCCCCACTCTCTTGGAGGCCCCCCCAAAAAATTAAAGGAAAAAAACCTGAATGTACATTTCCAAAATATAAGATAAAAAACAAATAAAATAAAACCTACTTACAGCAACAGTGTTTTGTGTTATGTAGGCTCCTATGATGTAAGTAATGGGCCCCGCCTGCTAGCCTGCTCCGTAAAATATCACTGGTTTGCTCATTTCTATATATAGGGTGCCTACATTCTGCATGGACTGGTTGCATGGCAACCTATTAGGTCCATAAATTACCATATATTCAACACAAAAAACAGTGACAATTTGTTGTTGACAAAGGACAGCTGGACATATAGGTAAAGGTAAAGGGACCCCTGACCATTAGGTCCAGTCGTGACCAACTCTGGGGTTGTGGCACTCATCTCACTTTACTGGCCAAGGGAGCCGACGTACAGCTTCCGGGTCATGTGGCCAGCATGACTAAGCCGCTTCTGGCGAACCAGAGCAGCACACGGAAACGCCGTTTACCTTCCCACTGGAGCGGTACCTATTTATCTACTTGCACTTGATGTGCTTTCGAACTGCTAGGTTGGTAGAAGCAGGGACCGAGCAACAGGAGCTCACCCCGTCACTGGAATTCAAACCGCCGACCTTCTGATCGGCAAGTCCTAGGCTCTGTGGTTTAACCCACAGCGCCACCTGCATCCCTATTATTGAATAGGACATCCCTATTTTCATTGGAGAAATGTTGGAGGGTATTTGAATGCTGGGAGATCCAAGACAGATAAAAGAGGGCAACGTCTTCACAGAGCACATGGTTAAACTATGAAACTCACGTGTCCTAGAGGCAGTGATGGCTACCAACTTGGACAACTTTAAAAGAAGATTGGGTGTTTTCATGGAGGATAAGGCTAGTTGGCAGGAGCAGGGACCGAGCAACAGGAGCTCACCCCGTCACTGGGATTCGAACCGCCGACCTTCCGATTGGCAAGTCCTAGGCTTTGTGGTTTAACCCACAGCGCCATAAAGGGCCCCATTACCTTCAGTAGCTTAGGGCCTCATCAAACCTAAATCTGGCCCTGTCTATACCAGCGGGTAAAGGGCGGTATACAAATTTAATAAATAAAATAATGATAAATATCTCCCACGTTTTTATTATTAGACCAGAGGTGGGGAACCTGGGGTCTGTAGACCAAACACAGCCTCTGAGCCTTTCTCTCCATTCCACAGTAAATGCCTCTGCTTATGTTCTTATGGAAGTCTTGCCCCGGCACTGAAAAAAAGATTGCAATGTCAGCTTCTGGGGCCTTGTAGGTATGCAGTCTTCTGCCTCCCTCCTTGCTATTACTGTGTCCAGATTTGGTGGTACGGGAGGGACGATGATCTCACGTTTCCACCCCTGGAAGAATGCTAATGCGAAGGGAATGTGGGGCTTCCTGGCATGTCACGCATATTTGGGATGTTTGCCCTAATATGTAAGCAAAGAGAAGAGGGCTGCTCTGTTGCTGTCTGTAGGTATTGACGTCTGGCACATTTCAATCTCTCTGTTTTGTTTTCATCTTTCACGTAATTCCCCCCCTAAAGCATGGAACATCTCTCGATGAGTCAGGGATGCATTGACCACACGCCAGAGGGGGAGAGGGTGGGTGGCCTTTGAGTGGAGGCTGCTAATTATTAGCTGCAAGAGGCAGTATTTAAATCAGCATTGGCTGCTGCATGCAATAATAGCTGGCCACCGTGTGTGTCAGGAGGAGGCACGGGTGATGGCTGCCAGCTTGTTCGTTTCCCTCGGGTTGCCAGCCCTGCCTTCTCATCTGACAATCGGACCCTATGATGTCAACGAACACATTATTTACTCCACAAAGGGGAGGGAAGATAAAGAGATAGGCAGCTTGCGAGCAAAATGTCCCTCCTACGCTATCACAGCCCCGAAGGCCTGGCAGTGGTGGAGCGTAATCTTTATGAAAATATGCATTACATGTCTATTTTGGAATGGTCATTCCGCAAGAAGGCAAGGTGTTGCCCTCCATGTTTGGGAGAAAGGTTGTGGATGAGGGTTAGAGCATCTGCTTTGCCTGCAGAGGGTTTTAGTGTGTTCATGCCCTAATACGTGAGCTCGCTCTTCTCGCAGAGAGTGTTAAGTGCCTTGCTGTTTTCCTTCCCTCTCCTCAATCTGCTGCTCCCTCCCTACTTTCCACGGTGGCAGGAACTTCTCCCTGCGACATGGTAAAGGCAGGTCTGGTTAGTGGAAGGAAAGGCTTATAAAAATAATGCTACATGCATCCCAATCTCCTGAGCGGCGAGAGACTCCAGGGGTTCCAAATTTCAAATCATAGAACTGTGTAGTTGGAAGGGACCTTGAGGATCCTCTAGTCCAGGCATGGCCAAACGTGGCCCTCCAGCTGTTTTGGGACTACAGTTCCCATCATCCCTGATCACTGGTCCTGTTAGTTAGGGGTGATGGGAGTTGTAGTCCCAAAACAGCAGTGCAGGAATATGCAAGTGTCCCAAACGGGGATCAAACCTGTGACCTTGGCGTTATCACCACCATGCTCTAACCAACTGAGCTACCTCAGGGTTTGGTTTCCTTTCAAATGAAGGTCAGTGGAGACTGTGGGGTCTTTAGCACATATGATTTTATTTATGCATATTTAAACCTGAGGACAGGACGGAGGGGCTCACTCCAGCCAATCTTGTCTCCCCCTTAGGTTCCCAGGGAGATCTCCAAGCCATTGCTTTGATTCTAGCCCAGAGCAAGACAAGCCTTTGTGTCTCCAGCATCAGCCAAGCTCACGTACACATATTCCTCTTGGCCTATTCATCTCCTTCCTTGGATGATGATGCATCCGGCCAGGTGAGGTGGGAAAAGGGCCACTGATTTGTCTCTATGGCAACTGGGCAACTTCTTTAGACATATAAATGGCAATACTTAACTGGCCAGCTTCTTACAAAGAAACAAATTTGACCAGTTCAGTAGGTTTCTTCTTAAAGATTTGTTGCTTTACATACACAGGACCACAGGTTTGGAAGAGACCTGCAGGTATCACCTAGACTGATCCCCCACCAAGCCTATAACAATAAATACAATAGAAAGGAATAACCAGGTGCTATTTTGTCCCACTTCTGATTCTTCCCTGCCCAATGGAAGCCCAATCGTGCTGGAAGTTGGTAGTGAATAGGAGACATGAACCAGCCCATAATTTTTACTTATATAGACTGTATTACTGAAGGACTTGAAAGATGGCTGCTTTGTTTCCTCTTAAGACCTAACTTCCAGTTTCTAAGCTTTCTAAAAGGGTGGAAATCTCTCTCTCTCTCCTTTAGTTATTTAAGCTGTAAAATATGATTACTAATATGCTGACAACATCTTCCGTGTGCTGAGTAAACTATGCAGCTGGGGTTTATATATTTTTGCTAATGTGACAGATTCTGTTTATTATTAATCAGTCTGCGCTTGCAAGACACTTGGGGGATTTTTGTCCGGTCACTCAGTAGAAGCAGAAAGGAATTTAACCAATTACTGTTTATTTTCCCATCATAAAGGAGCAAAGACTTGACCTCTCCACCCACCCACCCTGCTTAGCCCTGTGAAGGCTGCCTGCCCCCCTGCCCACCTCTGATCCATCATTTAGGAAAAGCAAAATGTTCTGCAAACACATTATCTCATCTGAAAGGCATTTTATATGTTGGGCAAATCCACTTCTTTAAGGTTCTTCCCACCATCGCTGCCAAAATGAGCCTTCAGACTTCATTAGATTTTACTGTTCTTCAAAAGCAAAATATCTGCCAGATATTGAGCCCCTGGAAGAAAAGGGAGTGGAGAGGTCAAATGGTCTAGAATAAAGTAAGAAAGGCAGCAGACTCCACAGTTTTGTAGGGCTTCAGCCAAGTGGGTAGCGGTGCCCCCCTCATTAGACCATTTTTGCAACCCAGAACCTATGAATGCTGGAGAGAGCTGCCTTATGAATGTAGAAAGTGCTTTCTTTTACTACTGTACAACTCCAAGGACTTGAAATGTACAGAATGGTCTTACTGGGCAGGAGCTGTTTCTTCCAGAAAAAGCACTGGTGCATCTGGACTTGGTCCTCACCAGAGGAACTTGGGAAGAAGTGACCGTGTGCTCCTGGATTTCATGATACAGAGGCAAGGAAAAGCTGAGTGTAGTCGGACATGCAATCTGGACTTATTAAAGGCCAATTTCAAAGAGCTTGAGGAGCTACTGAGTGAGATCCCATGGTCAGAAATACTCAAAGAAAAGGGAATCCAAAATGGATGGGAGCTTCTAAAAGGTGAAAAACTGAAGAAGGCCCAAATGCAGACAATTCCAACAAAATAAAAAAGCGGGAGGCATTTAAGGAAACTAGTGTGGCTGCATAAGGAGCTTATACATGAGCTTAGAATTACCGTATTTTTCACTCCATAAGACGCACCTGACCATAAGACGCACCTAGCTTTTAGAGGAGGAAAACAAGAAAAAATATTCTGAACGAAACAGTGGATGTATGATTTTTTTGGTGCAGGCTGTAGCCATGGACATGCTATGTGATCTGATGGTGAATTTGGGGTGACCCAATGCAAAAATCCTGAGGATCCATGTGGATCTGTGCTTTGTAACCACATTTTTGCACCATTGCAGCCCCAGGAAACAGTGGATGTGTGATTTTTTTGGTGCAGGCTGTAGCCATGGACATGCTATGTGATCTGATGGTGAACTTGGGGTGACCCAATGTAAAAATCCTGAGGATCCCTGGGCCCCCCTCCCAGGCAGCCTCCGCTAGCGTCTCTTATCTCTCTCCTGATCCCACCGATCAGTTGCTTCCTTTCAACACTCCCTTCCCTCTTGTTTGCCTTAGTGTCTTTTCCTTAGCTGGAGCGGTTTTTTGCTCCTCCTTTTCTTCTAATTTCTCTCCTCATTGATTTAGTCTTCCTGTTTCCCCCCTTTGCAAGTCTGCTGTCTTTACCTCTTCCCTCCCAGGCAGCCTCCTTTATTGCTAGCATCCCTTATCTCCCTCCCCAATCGCTTGCTGATTAGTGGCTTTGTTTCCACACTCACTTCCCTCTTTTTTTTTTTTAAAAAAAAGCATAATCTGCTTTTTGCCCCTGGGCAATTCGGCTCCAGGGACCACGCATTCGCTCCATAACACGCACAGACATTTCCCCTCACTTTTTAGGAAGAAAAAAGTGTGTCTTATGGAGTGAAAAATACGGTAAGGAGGGTATGTATAAAAAAATGGAAGAAGGGGAAATCACCAAGGAGGAGTATACATGAGTAGCCAGCAGTTGCAGGGTGAACGTTAGGCACCTAAGGCTCAGAATGATCTCAGGCTAACAAGAGAGGTTGAAATGACTCTATCTAGGTTTGGCTTAGCAGGATGGGTGAACCAGGCCATGGTTAGACTCCCAACTCTCACCATCCCTAGCAAGAATAGTCAATGGTCAAGCATGATGGGAGTTGTCCAACAACGTAGGAGGTGTTAGGATATTTCCGTTCCACCTTAAAAGGGAGCAGGCTTTGTGAGTCACAGAGTCTGCATATTTCCTGTTCACAGGAAGTTTATGTTTTCTATTGCTTTCGTTTCTCTCTCTGTGTCTGAGACACTGAAGCAGGCAGTCATGTTTTCTTTGTTCTGATCAACGCTGAATAAACTTGTAAATAATGCTCTCCTGCGTGCATCTTTTGCTGTGCATTATCTGCTGATAGAGCGTGACCAGTTCTGGAATGTGGCAGGCTATTTCTGGAGCTCGTGTCGCTAATTGGTGATACTGTATCTACGGGAGATCGATGGATCGTCCGGAGGCGACTTGTGGGGCCATGATGGACTTTGTCTCCCTGGCAGTATCCCAACAGGAGGTTCCCCATCCTTGATTTAATGTCTATAGCTGTACCAGTTCTTGATTCTCCAGCTCACGCCAAGAAGTGTCTCCCCGCCCCCCGGCCACTTCATTTTTTAAAATCTGCCATAAGATCCTTGCCCGAGACCCTACAACCAGCATGGGACAGACCAGGAAGCGTTTCTCCTGAGACCTGGTCCCAGCAAAGCAGACATTGGCGCGTTTCTTCCTTCTCTTGGTTTTGGGAAAAACACGGACTCAGTTATGCTAATTCTCCTTCCTCTCATTTGCATGAAATCTCTGCCGAAGGAGCGAAAATTGTGAACATCTGGCTGTACACGCCGTCTGATGCAGAAATCTATTACAGTTCTGGCATGAGCTCACGAGCAGAGAGCTGCTAAATAAATCATTAAATTTAGCAGAAGGTACATGGAGGGAGATGCGTTACTCAGCAGTGATGCTATCTAGCAGAGGGGCCAGATGTGCAGGAGGAAGCGATTTAACAGTCCTCATGCCAAGCCCTGAACCTGTTTCTGCTCTGGTGGCTTTACCATGTCGTTCCAGGTGGGTTTCGGAGAAGTGTACAGCTGGGGAGGTCCCTTGGAGATCCTCGGGCCAGTACTGAACAGTTGTCTCGCACTGTCAGTGATCAAGCATCATGAGGAAGCTGTCTTGTACTACATTAGACCATCCAGCCTAGCATTGCCCATCATCTTCTCCAAGGCACAGCTACACTTCTCCAAGCAGTTTAACAGTTGGTCCTTCTTCCCATGGAACTCTGGGAATTTTAGTTCTGCTTAAGAAGCTACGGTCCCAGCAGCACCGGATTTAGGGTGGTGCAGGCGGTTCCCCTGTATAGGGTGCAAAGCTGGGAAGGCACAGAATCGAGAAGATCCATAATTGAGAAGATCCATTTGAGGGCACCAAATTTTGGCCTCATATTATCAAAGATTACAAAAGTCCGTCCCTAGTCCCAGCAGGTTTAAAGTGATATGAGACTGCATTGAACACATAATGTGGCCTTAGAAAAACTCAGAGATTCCACAGCTCCGTTGATTTCAAGGCTCGGGAAACTTTATTGCACTGTGCCTTGAAAGTCATCCACTGAGGGCTTTTGCACAGCTCTGTCTGAGGCACATTTATTGGACGGGAGATGAAGGCAAAGCAGAGAGGCGCTTCAGATTTTCAAAGGACTTGCTTAGGCTGTGTGCATAATGGCATTTACTCTGGCTGCAGTGTGCTTCCACCGCTGGTGTTTGAATCCACGTACACACAACATTACCCAGAATGCAGAGCTGTTCTGTAGTTCCCTGAGCAACACTGCTGTGTTATGTGTATTCCGCTAAAGACAGCTTCAGCCCAGAAGGAGAACTCAAGCCACGTTCTCTTCACAGTTAAGCTGAGGTGTGTACATTGAGGAAGACATTGTGCATGCACAGAGGACAGCGTATGTGCAGATGACAGCTTCATGAATAGGTGTTTGCGGGTATCGAGGATGTTGCAGGAGCAGAGAAACTAGACAGGTCATGTGAATCGAGTGACGACATTCCATCCCCCTCTCTGTTGTGTATAACAGCATGGAAATGTAAAATGACACACATTGGGGGAAAGCTACCTTGCTGTGTTTTAGGCCACTAATGTGCATATAGCCTTAGCTGTTTGAGTAAGAGTTTTCTATTGTTGAATATTCACAATTCATTTTTTTTAAAAAATAAAGTAACAAAACTTCAGCTTGGCTCTGAATTGA